TCTATCTATCTATCTATCTATCTATCTATCTATCTATCTATCTATCTATCTATCTCTATGTCTCTCCCTCGTCCCTCCCACAGATTTTGATTCTGAAAGTCTATACTTTCTCGTATTTCAGATACCTTGCAATATGTCACGTGATGAGACAGAGAAACACCAAGAACATGGCACGGGTGGTGCTGGTGGTCATCTGGCTGGTAGCCTTCGCTCTGATGACTCCCTGGGCGCTCTACTTCAAAATGGAGATGTACGTGTCCCAAGTGCAGAAGATCGACATGTGCGTGGAAGTCTTCCCCGAGGTCTGGCAGAAAAAGGCTTTCTTCCTCGGCGTCATCTTCCTCATGTGCTACGCTCTCCCACTCGCCTTCATCATCGCTTGCTACTTCATGATCGGCTACCGCGTCTGGCATCGTGATGCGCCAGGTATCACTTCAAGTATGGGCGTCATCGAGAAGTCAAAGGTCCGAGTAGTCAAGATGCTAGTGGTGGTCGTAGTCCTCTTCACTGTCTCGTGGATGCCGTTGTACATAATCCGCCTTATCATCCTCTTCGCTGATATTTCAGAATCCTCGCCTCAATCAGCAATCATCCACAACATCGTCTTCCCCTTCGCCCAGTGGTTAGGCACGTCCAACTGCTGCATGAACCCTCTCGTCTATTGCTTGTTTAGTCAAAAAATTCGTAGACGAATTCGCGCCATGCTGTGCTGCTCAAAACCTGAGCTCCGAAGCCTGTACTCGAATCGGTCTATGTACAGCAACGCTCTTCAACATAGCACAAATACACGAGACTCCACAGTAAGACAGGAGCACACAGGCTCTGGGTACAGTAATGGACATGCAGGTTATGGACATCATTACGGTGGTGGGAACCTCTATCATCACCGCTCGGCGAGGTCAGACACGGAGTTCATAAGGCTACACAGAAACTCGAACGTCAGATCTACTCACGTTTAAACGAGTATAGAAGGTTGGGAATCGTAGGATTTGATCGAAGACCACACGTCGGTGGATCAGCAGCTACACTGAAGGCTTTGCTCATTGCTTATTCTGGAACGATGTATGTCATCTTTTTGCCGGATTTTCAAAACTTGCGTGACTCAAACAATAAACAGTTGCTGTCGTCTTTGGCGGACACAACAGTTACTGTTCAGACATGCTTTACATGTGTTTCTCTTTACGCGAAGGATTAAGTTTTTGATTATGAAACCTATTCGAAGGTGATCTCTTCGATTGCTCGTTTTGAGAACATTGAATGTCTATCTTCTTCAATCTTATAATTCTGCGGAAGATTGTCGTTTCTTGTGGCTGTGAACATTAATTTCTTATGGCTGATATTGTCTATTTACATGTTCTTATTTTATGTAGTCGAAATTGTCTAAGACGGCCAATCATTTTCGAGAAGAAAAGTGATTGTCTTGGGTGGGCGTCTTGGACATTGTCATTATATCTTTTTAAAAAGAAATGGGGAACAGTAGGAAGTGGTCGTTTGTACAGATGGTTAACTGGTACAGATGGTTAACTTGTATAGGTGGTTA